AAGGGCAAGGAATGTTTAAATCTTAGTCATGGACATAGGTAAATGAATCCAAGTAAATGTTTAATTATATTGAATTTAAAGGAAAAAAAAAGTTACTTAACTATAAAACTTCATAAGTATTTACAATTTTTATATCCACATACATACACACGCACATATTTATAAGAGACATTTAAAGATGGCCATGTCTTTGAGTAATATATTAGGACCAAAAGTGTTTGTTTCATATTTCAATTGTGTAATATTTTGCTTTGCTAAAAACCAGAGATGTATGGGGTTTTGTAGATCTCAAAGTTTTTAAGATCATTGTGATTTAGAATTGAATGTTATATATTATGATTCAGGAATTTTTTTTTTTTTTCTTATATGAAAGATCCAGTATCCAAGTAGGTTTTTTCTTTTTAAAACCGTTTTCATTCTTATTGGTTATTAATTTTGTTATTTTTAGAAAATAACCCCAGTTGTTATGTAATAATTCTATAACAACATTTTTGTCCAACCCCTACAAAAAAAAAAAAAAATGATTTTGTGCTTCCAAACATCAAAGATCTAAAAGCAATGCTTATAAGGCTTCATGAAAAAAAAAATACTAAAACATTGTTTGTGCAAAAAGTTAGATTTAAACAGAGGGGAATTATTCTATTAATTCATGGTTTGAGTAAAACAATCTCCCTTTCATCCAGTTCACCATTTTCTTTATCACGCTAGTTTTAGGGGTGGAGAAATTGAATTTATTCCTCAAACCTCTGGTCTAAAACTTCAAAAATACCTTGCAGTTTACACAATGATAATGATAAAGTCAAAGAATATGAAACCATTTTATTTTTACAAAAAGGAGAGGGATTTGTTTATTGTTATGATGTTCTGGTATGAAGCCGCTTTAACACTTAAACAGAGGCACTTTTTGTATAGTCTCATGATAGTGATGGTCAGTATTATACAAGTGTGCAGATCTGTGTGTGTGTGTGTGTGAGAGAGAGAGAGATTGGCAGTCTAATGAACAGTAAAGAAATTTGGCTATTATAGGTTTTAGAAATGTGCAAATGCCATTACCGCAATTGGCATGGATGTGAAAAAGACTTGATATGAGGCTCCAACCATGTTTATGCCAATATGGCGGGTTAAAGAAGCATCTTTACCAGATGAGCCATGACATTTACCTTAAAAAGATTTATGCAGATGACAAATACTGAAAAGGTAGAACAAATAAATGGAAATTTTCTACAAGCAACACTTTATAGCCAAAAGTTTTTACTATTATTTGAAATGGATGCTTAACCCTGAGTTGAAGCTAGTTCTGACTATTTTAGCCAATGTGAAAGTTTCCAGTTATAGAAAACAGAACTTAGAACGGTAATTTTAGAATCCCAGCTATAAAAATGCATTCCAGTGTTTGTGCATATTTAAAAGATTTGTTTTTGGTTTTATTTTTTTCCTAAAGCTTATATATATATAAAAAAAAAAGTCATTAAAACAAAAATCACTTCTGATATACATTTATTAAAATTGTTGGTTTTTATCAGTTTTTTTTTTTTTTAATTTTTCAATAAAACAAAGAATATGATCTTAAGTGTCTGTCACAAGATATTGACTAGATTAAAAAGTAATACAAAATATTTTTCTAAACAGATGCTATAGGGTTGGCCAAAGAATTTGTTTGCTTATTAAGTAGAAAATTTACTTAAACCAAATTAACTTTTTGGTCAACCCAATAAAATAAAAATGCTAGTTACTAATACTAGCAAATGTCAAATTATAAAATTCAATATATATCAAATTTTAGAGAACCTCTGCCAACAAAGTGCTCAATATAAGACTAAAATGACTAATTATTAAAATATAAGTAAAAATGTCCAGTTGAATGTCAACACAGTGTTTTGTAATATTCAAATCGCTCATTAGGACCTTTGACAAGAAGGTACTGATGAATAATTAAAATATTACAAAACATTGTTAACATTCAATTTAATTAGACTTTTTTAATTAAAGTACATATTCTATACATGGAGAAAGACATTTGTTGAATAGTTGCATGTGCCTGTATTAATTTTCCTCTCTTTGGGTGAGACAACTTTCACCAGACTCTTAGATAAGAATACATCTTGAACTGTAAAACTAGGGTTTAGAATTGTAGCAGAGAAATGTTAGCAATAACAAAAGTTTAAACATTTCAGTGCTTAAGAGATAATCTTTCATTTCTGGTTGCTATTATTTATAGAACAATGAAAACTTAAAGATCTGAGTTCTGCCCTCATTCAGTCTGATCAATCCTATAAACAGATGGATCATAATTGGCAGATGTGTGAAAGACTTGTCCAACAAACCATAATGAATTTGAATACAACAAATGGTCTTTTACTTTTAGTTTGCATGTTTTTAAATTTTCTGAGCTTTTCCTTCGGCTTGAACCTGAACTAACAAATTTTATGTGAATGGCATTATAACCAGATGAGCTACAACACTTATCCCAATGCAAATGGAGATGCCAAGGGCTCAGGAACACAGAAACCGACCTCTTTAACCATCATTCAACCCAAAACATCAATATTACCAGGACTCATAGGAGATAAAGTCACGTCATCAGAAACACTGCACAGATATCCACTTAGAGGAAGGAATACAGGGGAAGTGAAATAACTATATATATATATATAAAACCACAAAAGTATTAGGAAATTTTAACAACCAGGAGGGAGACACAAAATAGATTCAAAATTTAAAAAAAAATATATATTTGATGTCTTCTTGAACCGACTTGCTTCCTTAAACACTGGTCAAACATTGTTTTTAGTAAGTGACACGTTTCCATCTGACGTGGAAAATTATGTACAAAGAAATTGACCAAATCTGTATAATTTTTTCCCCCTTTGTTTCAATTTCTTTTCTCCTAAAAAAAAAAAATTCTTTCATATATTTTTTTTTATCTCTCCTCAGTAAATAACTTAAAAGAATATTCCTTAACAGAGGTATTTAAATTAAAAGTTAAAATCCGGCATAATTTGTGATTATTGTAAGAGAAAGTTAAAAACAAAAAAAAAAAAAAACGAATTAATTTGGCCACTGTCAATTTGTCCACTCATTCACCGGAGATTTTTTTTGGGTGAAAAAAAATCTGCCAACAATATCAGTGACAGATACTGAAAATGTATTTTTTCCATACTTAATGTACATTCTCTTAGTCTTAAAAAAAATTAAATGTCTCCCTCGTTCAATTTTTCTGAACTGTATTATCTCCCCTGATTTCCTCAATCAATTTTTCTGAACTGCATTATCTCCCCTGATTTTTCTCCCTAACTCCGCCAATTTACTTTTTCTTTTCCTTATAATTGTGCATGATTGTTTTGTGTTTCCAGTGTTCAGCTTTTTGTTGACGCATGAACCTAGCCTGGAATCGGTTCAAATAAGCAGCCTAAACCCAGCAACAAACAGATTAACAAAATGTTTAAAAGAAGAAAAAGAAAAGTGGGATGGCTATTCACTGTTAACTGTTGCAAAGATGGAAAAACTTTCTTTAAGAACACACACCAGTCCCGTACTACCACCCCAAGAAACCAGTTTTTTTTTTTTTTTTGTTTTTTTATTTTGAAAAATGAAGATAATGATTTTTTTTTTTTTTTTACTTTTTTTTTTTTTAATTGATCATTCTTTTTCTATAAAAAAATAGTCAAGTGATGAATCTGAAGTTTAAATGGAGGGGGAAAATAATGATTAACTAGAATTGCAGAAAATGAGCATCAAGAGAAGGATACAACACTTAAGTCTTCAACTGTCCCCCTCTCTTTATCAAATTCTCTTATGCTAGCAGCCAGTTCTGATTTACATGTAAAGCCAGAAGGTTTTCATAAAACAAAACAAAAAAAAAGCTCCTAAAATCTAACAATGAATAAGCCAGATATTTGTAAAGAATATTATATAAATAAGATACCAGATAGTTTTAGGGTTTATTTTGACACAATGGTGTCCCAGCCCTGATGTCTGAAAGAATTAAACTATTTGCATTAAAAACAAATAAGATACAATTTAATGTAATTTTTCTTCAATTTTAGTTAGTAATCACATACTCCACAAATAAATCTGGCCATAATTTTTTTTAAACTCTTGACATAATAAAACTAGAAATTATTTGCTGTTGGGGGGGTTAAAATTCAAAGTACAAACATTTTGAGATTATTTTTCTTTTATTTCTTGTCATGATAACCTTGACAAACCTGTTTCTTTTGCTGTTAATTTTATTCTGGAAAAGATTATCTTTGAAGCAGAGGCCCTCAGAAAGAGTAGAAGGGAGCAGTTATTAAATAACATCATCTCAAGTAGTGAAATTATCTTATAATACTTGGTTATTTAAGAAAAGAAAAAAATTGTTGCTAAATGGTTTTCAGTTTATAAATGATTAAAAACAAATATGGCTCAAGATCAAAGCTACTAAGAATCCAGGAAAACATTTCCATCTACACTTTGGATTTGTTTATGAAAAATTATTATATATATCTGTTTATTTTCCTTCCTTTTTTTATTTTGTATCTTAGCAGCAGTTCCCATCCAATTCCCTAGTTAAGTTTATCAAACTGGTAGAGATTTGTAGAGAAAGAGAGACTTACAAGTCATAACATGATGATCCAGTTCAGATGTGATATAATCAAGTGGTCATATGACAACAGCAGTAGCAAGAGTCCTGTGGGCAGTGGGGGCAGCATCAGCAGCAGCCACTGCCAGCCACTGCGGATGACCAAGGTAAAGGCCCCACCCGCCCCAAACAAGGACACAGCAACGTGGGGTAAGGGTAGAGAGAACGTCGCAGTGGTGATGGCGGTGGCAGCAGTGAAAATGGCATTATGATGAAATAGAATTTTTTTTTTTTTTTTTTTTTTTTTTTGGTGTGATTTTTTTTTGTTTTTCTTTTTTTTTTATATAATAAGAGGAGATGTAGTAGGAGGAATTACAACAGTTACGGGCAGAATGGCCACACGTCACCAACAACAACAACAACACTTGACAGTATTTCAGCAGGAAGCCGCTTCTTTGTCTGCTTCTCGACACAGGAAAATGGAGACAAGCAAACCAAATATCTGTAGAAGGTAAAAGAAAATTATAAGAAACTTAAGTTAAATTTTTTTTAAAAAGGAATAAGAAAGAATACATTTTTTTTATTCAATGTGTTGGTTCTAATCATCCAGGAATGGCCACTAAGAACATCTCCTCCCCTAACTTATAGACAAATCCTACAGATGCATAATGTGATTTCTTCCTAACCAATAAAAATGGGCAATACTTTGTCTCATCCCCAATATTTTTGTTCTTTCTTGTCTTTGTCAGAATGCTATTACCACTTGACTGTATCCCTTTTGCAAGTGAAACTAATTCTTTGTAAACTTTTGCATTATTGCTGTTGCTTTGTCTAGTTTTGACATGCATATACATCATTTGCTTAGTATTATTTTGCTCTGTTCTTTTTCTCCCTTTTCTAATTGTTTGAGAATTTTGTCAATTACACCACACAAAAGAAATATCTTTAATAATTACTTTAAAGACTTCAATTGTGACATGGCAAAGACCCTTTTTTTCATTTGGAAAAAAAATCTCAGCATTGATGGCCATCTTGCTGCCAATGTTTGATAAATCTCATAGCCTTTTTTTTTTTTTTATACAATTGCATTGTTTCTACTCTCTCCAGACATTGAAAATTGCATACAAATTTATTAGTAGTACTTTCAAAAATAGATGATTTCTTGTTTGATATTTTATAATGAAATATTTACATTATTCGGACTATATTACAACGTTTTGCCCGTTGTACACTCCAGCCTTCTTCAGGTGGTTGGAATGTCGAATTGAACCCTTTATTTCGCTCACTGGGGTAGACTGCTCTAGTTCCATGTGCCATGTTTAATGGATGTCAGTTATCAGTGGATAAAGACATTGGTTAGATCCAGTGACAGGACCCAAAGAGTGTGAGTTCAATACCTGATTAAGGCAGTGGAGAACTTTCAGAGGGAAATTAACAGGAGATAACTGATAAATGACATCCATTAAACATGGCACATGGAACTAGAGCAGTCTACCCCAGTGAGCGAAATAAAGGGTTCAGTTCGACATTCCAACCACCTGAAGAAGGCTGGAGCATACAATGGCTGAAATGTAATAAATATGGTGACAAAGATGAGGACAATAGTCCAAATAATGTAAATAGTGTACATGATACCTCATCTCAGAAATATAGTTATGTTTTCATTTGAATAATTTTTAGAAACTCGGTACTAATTTTTAAAATTTCAAAGTGTAGTAATCAAGTTCAATTTTTTTTTTTAATGAAATTAAGTAAAAAATGTTTTTTTGTATGTTTATATATCTGTTTAAAAAAAATAACTTTTAAACTTTATTAGATTTCATAGACTTGCTAGGTTACTAGCCTTATTTATTATTCTTAGTGTATTTGCAGTGATAAGATTTTACACACATTTCTATTTTTTCTGGTAAAACTAAAAAACAAAAAAAAAAAAACTAATAATCTATGAATTTTTGAGATGCATAATTATCTAATATTCTGTCTTGCTATTCAAATCAGCATACTCGACTAGGTTGTTATATATACACACATTTTGGCTGGTGTAACTGTTTCTCTTGCTGGACTTGATATAAACATGGAAAACAGAATGTTCTCATTCTCCTTCCATAGATTGAATAAAGGATTTGATTCAAAATTCTAAGGTTACTGAATATTAAAAAAAACACCTGAAGGAGAGAGAGAGAGAGAAAAAACACTTTCCTCTCCCAAATTTATAAGAAGAACCACACAAAAGCATGCTGGGATTTCTTCCTAGCCAATAAGATAGACCAGGCTGGAGTCAGATGAGACCAGGAAGTGGCCTGTCTTGAAGTCAGAACATTACATTCATTTAACCAAATTCACTCTTGTGTGTCAACACCAATTCTTAGTTTGAACTTTTTTGTCATGTTACTGTCAATTTGCCTTTAATATATTGTTTGCTTTATATTATTTTTGCCCTGTTCTTTTTCTTATTGCAAACTTTTTAAAATTCTGTTTGTTCAGCAGTTCTGCCATTTACATTTAATAATGGCTACTTATTCTACTTATAACAGCCAAGATGAGAATGCTGATATGAATAGCAAATCCTATAACTAAAGCTAACATTCCACCCTCTACTTTCATTCTACCTTTTTAAAATAAAGTTAAAAACATTGCCAGCTTGCTTTTAAGGATTTCAAATTTGATTCTTGTCTTAAAAATGTATCTTATAATTTGATTACTGTATATACTCGTGTATTCTGCAACTTTTGAAGACATAATTTTGAAGCTAATTTTAAGGGGGTCACATCATACAAGAGATAAAAAATTAGCATATGTACTGCTGGCTGTGGCTATGCTGCTGTTAATATTGCAAAGCTCTTCCATGAATTGACCCCTATCAGTAATTGGCATGTTTATTCAAAGAGTAACTATGTAAAAATTTGCCTTTCTTTCAACTGAGCACTGATAGCACAAGTAAAATTTCCAACTGATTTGGCATCAGTCAGGTTTCAATCCTGGCTTCAGGCAGTCGAATATCTAGCCACACTGATGAGCTGTGATACAGCAAAACAGTCTGTCTGTGGATGACAATATATGCATTTACTGTAGTGAAATTAGCTTCAAAATTAGGTCTTAAATGGTCACATGATATGTGAGTACATAGGGTAAATATGTGAAATCTTACTTGATTACCATTTACCAAAAAAATCACTCCTTACATTAAAAGGAATATTCTTTTAACTTTCAAATTATGGATCAATAATACTAGGATAAGTATAGGTTATGGGTCAAACTCAATTGGAGAAATCTGCCTCAGTTTTTTTTTTTTTTTCTGTATTAACAGATTTTTTTATATCAATGAGAAGTATGCTTTTAAAAAGCAACAAATCTAGATATTCATTTATTGTGAATATGTAGCATTTAATAATTATTTTTTGTTTTTCCAAACTCCAATGAAAATTCTTCTTTCAATCCATCTAAATATGGGTTGATTTTATGATTTACCAGAATGAGCAGCATCAGCCACTTGTTTAACCAACTGATGTTTTAAAATGAAATCACAAAACAATTTTCACTGTTTTGTGACTCGGACATCATTACTTCTGAAGCTGGGTAGTTGTATGTAATTAATGTTGATTATCGATTGTACATTGAATTAAGCTGCATGTTAAACTTAACTACCCTCACAAATTTAAATTTGTTGTTCAACAAAACAATAAACATGAATGAGAAATAATACAAAAACAGTTTTTTGAATAACAAACAATATTTTAATTTATATGGCATAAAAGATACAATGCATTCTGCTGAAATGAGTAAAATCTTCGTGATGTTTGTTATTTTAATTATCTGTAAACTCTTCTTTTCGTGTTTGGAGATGTGGTGTGTGAGTTTACTTGAAGAAAGATTTGTTGTTGTGATATAAGTTTCACAGAGTCAGTGAAAGAATAATTTTGTTTATTAGATAATTAAACAGTGTTTGTGAAATATAAATTCCCAGTGTAAATTGAGAAAAACTTAGTTGTACTAAAGTTGTCTTTCTTTGACCGTTATATGTCAAGAAATAATAATAAATGTTTAGACAAATTCTGGATGAAACCATGTTCTGTAATTGAGAACTTTTGCTGTGTGATAAATTATATCCAGTGTGATATGAGCGAGTGAATTCTGAAAGTTTGTTTTTATGTTAACAAGGTTAACTTTAAAACTTCAGATAATTTGAGTGTCATGGACTTGTTTGACAATGTGATTCTCACTGGTGAAGTTGAGTAATTAGTTTAATTCACTTTCATGAATGAACGAAAGCTGCTGTGTGAGCTAATGTTCTGGAAGCTGAGATTATGTTGGTAACTTTTAGCCTCAGTATATTGACATAAATTCAGTTGGCAAGATGGTTTGCTGGTCACATTCTTGCTGGCGAGATGCACTGGTGTATCATTTATTGACTTGTTAATCACCTGAGAGGCTCAAGAACAAGTCTTCATATTTTTGGCAGTTCTCTGGTTTGAATACTTGTGTGTAAGTGTAAATATGACCTTGGTATTAACAGACCAATCAGAACATGTCAGTTTCTAAAACTTGGTTTGGAGCCTATATGTACAAGATTTTAGAACTTTGCACTTGAAAAATACATAAGTTATTATTTAAATATTTGTTGTCCAATCAGGACATTGTTAAATAGCATCCTGATGGAAATTAGGTGTTGATCCATGAAATGTAGAAGTGAGATTCTACATTTCTAATACATAAACTTGATTATTGTATATTTAATGTTTTTCTATATCAATTTGTGTTGAGTTTTTTTATTATTAACAAAATTGTCTTGCCTTATATATAGTTGTATATTTAGGCAGCAATCCTTCCTTTATGCATGTTTCATTAAAAATGACAGACACGGTACTATGGTTGAGCTTTTTATTTAATTTTTCTTCTGTTCTGACAAGAGCTTTCTTTTCTGGACAAAGGGTGTGTAAGAACTGTCCGAATGTTTTATAATGTTTTCATATTTCGAAGGATGTTTTTTCAGCTATAGTGTTTAGCCATTATCAAGGATGATTCGATTTTTTTAATTTCCAATTGTGCTAACTGTATTTGGAACATTCTGTGTATGTATCACAGAATGTGTGGTAAAATGAAAATCGAATTTCCATAATGGCTAAAGGTATAGCTGAAAACACTCGGAAATATAAAACATACACACCCTTTGTCCAGAAAAGAAAGCTCTTGTCAGAACACAAGAAAAATTAAATAAAAAGCTCAACCGTAGTACCTTGTCTGTCGTTTTTAATGAAACATACATATATGTCTTCTAACATTCTTTAAAAAAAATCATTACAAATAAATATTAACAGATAGTATAATTTCCATAATTAAATATACAGAGTGAGACTTGACAACTGATAATTCATTTAACATTTATGTCTGTCCAGCATAGTTCTTAAGGCATTATGGAAACCTATTTTTGCAAAGTTATAATTTGCATTTAGCATACATTATAGGCCAAAAGTTTATGGTAACCCTTTAGATTTAATAATTAGTAAGTTTCATGCCATCTTTGGTTTAATTAACTTCTAAGATAGGATGTTGAAGCTATTTAACCTATTGGGGGAAAAGCATCTATATTTTTATTAGAAAGGGTTTACTTAAAATTTAAAATCTGACAACCCTAAAATTACCAGCAAAAGTAGATTAGGCAAAAAGAGATAAAATCTTATTTTTATTGAATATTGAAAATAGGTGAGCTAGTAAATTTAGTTTTGAAAAAGGCATGAAACCTTCAACTTTTAGGTGATTCTTCAAATCCAAATGGTGGCCCCCAAACTTTTCGGCTATACGTTTTGCACAATACATATTTGAAATAATCCAAAGACTTTGACCTTTTATGTCAATATTCAAATTTGTAATTTCTGTAAAGTATTTATGATTACTGTCTCTCCTTTTCCTTTCTACTCTCATTTTTGATTTTATTTTCTAATTGTGAAGCAATTCTTTGTGATTTTTTTATTGTACCAAACCTAATTTTCTTCTCAAATTAGAATTAAGTTTAACTCCATACTATACATTATTCTACAAATCATAAAAGGTACAATTATTAAATTGTATTAAGATATTTTGTGCTTACCTCCAAGAGTGCTATTCCACAACCCACACCTATCAGAATATTCATATGTTTGCTAACCCATTTCTCCATCTCGTCTTTGCAGCCCTTTAAAATAGAAACATAAAAATATAAATTGTCCAACTGAGTGAAAATAAATAAAAACCATGACATACAAAATCAGTAAGTAATATATAGTGCAAGTTTTTATGGTCAATTTTTTTTTTTTTTCACTTATATAGGGGGTAGCACTATACACAGGTAATTTTTTTTTTTTTTAAAGAGGTTAAAAATCATGTTTTTTTTGGTGACTGGTTGCACTATACACAGACAAATTTTTTCGGGGTAAAATTCATACAAAAAATTTAGGGATTGCACTTTACATGAAGTCAGCTTATCCATTACTATATACGGATTACTTTAAAAAAAAAAAAAAGAAACTAAAGTTACCTCCCTTAGTATCTGATGAAATGGATGAAGTTATATTAAAAAATTTCTAGTAGAGCATAAAATGAAAGTTTTCTAAATATATCTTAGACATTTTAAAGAAAACTAACACCAAAACCTGCTTTTTTTTTTTTTTTTTTTTTTTCCCCTGAAATATTTTGATCTTCCATTAATCTTTATAATGTCTGTTTTTGGATTACGGTGCAATGCTTTGGACTGGTGTCTTCAGTTTTAAAGTTGGAAAAAAATAGGGACAGGTATTTCTCTGAGACTGAAACCAGTGACAGCATTTTGACATGGTTTAATGGTTACCAAGCTTGTCAGTATTACGACTGAATAGAGAGTTCAATTCTCACTGCGTGCTTCACACTTTCAGCCATGCTACACTTAGAAAATCATTTTTTTAGTGTTCTGTGGTCGTCCAGGGACTATGGTGAAATTGTAGTATCTGTTTCATGGCCTTAAACTGCTATGCCTGATCCCGCATAATTTTGAGCAGTGGCCTGAGTGTTTGTGTTCGGGTTCTCCATGTTAAATAACCGACCTTGTGTCACAACCTAACCCAGTGGGGGCTCTCTGGTAAATATTGAGACTGAAACCAGTGACAATTATGACAATTACGATTAAATTTTAATAAACTTTATGCCATTAAGGTATTCTGATTTTTTGTTTTAAATCATAAAGATAAGCAAAGATAGTTTTAAAATTTGTTATTAAAATTCAATGAAATTAAAAAAAAAAAAAATTTCCTTTTATTTCCTTAATGACTATTGAAATTCTTTCTTTGGAGGATTAGAATCTTTTTTTTTTTTTTTTTTTTTTTAAATACTAGGGTCAAAATTATGGCCTAAATGAGAAAATTTATACCTGTAAAGAAAGAAGAAAAATAAAATAGTTTGGCAACCTTGTACTTTTATTTTATAGAATTATATTATGTAAAAAGAAAACAGTATTAATGTCCACTTTTCTCTCTTCCTGTTATGTGAATTAAATTAGCCTGAGACTTGCTGTTCTTATTTCTTCTTTATTGTAATACATTAAAGAATTTTTTGCATCCCCACCCACACTTTCAAAGACATCAACTTAAAACAAACATTTTGAAAGAAATTTTAAACTTAATGGAATTTCCTTACTGAAAATGCCATTTTATTATATTTACTAAATTTTAGAACTTCCAAAAAGCTAATACTGCAAAAGTAAATATATTCCACAGAAAAACAGATGAGCTATCATGATGGTATACAGAAAAGAGGGGGGGGGGGGTTAAATCCTGGCAGGTATGCCTTTAAACTTACCTTGTTGTTAAAATCCTCCAGCATTTCCACACAACCTGATTCATTTTCATATTCTGGGCTCAAAGGATTGTTGTTAGCAAGTTTACAGCAGGATTTGGGCAGTTTCTAAGGGGGGAGAGAGAAAAAAAATCAAGAACTATACTGTGACACAAACATATACACACACACATAAGAAAAGTGTATCCAAATTTTAGTTTAAATTTTAACTATAAATAACATTGTTTGCTATAGAGAAATAACATATATATATATATATATATATATATATACACACTCACACATACAATATATCATATTTGCTGGCCTATTGGATGGACCTTGATTTTGGCATGGAATATTTACAGAAAAAAAAAAATGCACATATCATGATGCAAAAAAATTAACATCATAACTTTACCTTCATGTGACATTCTTACTAACCATGAAGAAACACAATATTAGCACAAATTCTACTACTGGTACTTTTTTTTTTTTTTTTTTTTTTTTTTTAAATACAATTGAGGTTTTTTGGAAACTAGTCTGTTGGTCACAAACATTTTGGAGATATATGCTGCGATGGGTAAACTGTCACCATTTTATATTTTTAATTTCTCCTATGAGTGTTGTTTGTTTTTGATTTTGTCAACTGCACAGTATGGTAGCGTCATTTGGGCACACTGTGAGAAAAAGAGCACAATGACACAATTCATTTCGCCAGAAATTTGCAAAAAGCATGCTGTACTTCTTGGCATTCACACTGAAGACTTAAATACAAACATTTCAGAGTGTTTGAGTGTCAATCTGAGGACAGTGTAGAGAATTAAGAAAGAGATGAATCTAATGATGATTACAAAGGTGTTTGGCGTGACCACTAGTGATGGCAAAGTTAAGCCTCCATCCATCTTCCCACAGGGCCTCAAAATCAACACGGAGACCTACATCATGCCTTGAGGAAGTAGTGGCTGCCTTGGGTCAAGAGGGTGGCTACCGGAAGACCCTATGTCTGAAAACAGGACTCTGCACCATGCCAAACAAGTAGGAGAACCCAATCATGGCTGTCAGCCAATTACCCCTTACATCTGACCACCTAACTACCCAGACTGCAACTCACTTGATTATTGTGTGGGGGCACAGTTGAATGAGTGACCAACAAAATTACTAGTAACACCAACTGAATGGAATACAATGATTATGGCAGCATTCACCAACTTAAAGGAGGAGACTATCCAGAAGAGTTGCAGGAGATTCGGAAGTTATCTAGAGGCTGTGGTTGAAGCCAATGGCGATTTTATCAAATAAATTTGCTTTTGTATTACAAGTTATAGATGTCAATGTTATTTTCATTTTTATGTAATTTATCCACGTGGACATTGAGGACAACACCCAGCAGCAAGTCTGTTTCATGCTTAAGCACAATCACCATGGCCTCAATGTCCACTTAAATATTTATACATGCTCTATTAATGTTAGTGAGCACTTTAACTCATAAATATAGCATGCCATATATATATATATATATATATATATATATATATATATATATATATATATACACACACACACACTGTACCACTCATGTCTTCATGTTTTTAATTTTCTTAAATTGTAACTTAGAAATCCAGGAGTAATTTTTTTTTTTTTTTTAGTGGCCTGTAGTTTGCCTTGAAGTAATGCTTACATTTATCAACACTGGAACACTATGGCCTTTTATTTTGAGCATTAGAATGACTAATTTATTGTCTTTTCATGAGAATGTTATATTTTACTGTCCTCATTTGTTTTCCTTGAATTTTGTTTCAACTTTGATAATTTCTCAATTTTGCAAGGGAAGAACAGATGCTTAAATAAAGGATTTGTATATTTTTAGCATTTTATACAATACAAAGTTTAGAAAATTTTTATTGAACATAATGTGAACAATTTCAACCATTACAGGTTTTTCTAATTTACTGACTCTCCAACGTGTCAGCCATTTTGGTTTTAAGTCTTTTGTCTTATTTGGACATATTTTTGCTCATTTCTTATTGGCTGTAGGATGTATGTTGTAGTGTAGATATCGGCTCAGAATGAGAAATCAGAAAGCTGAGTTCATTACATTCACTTACATGCAAATATACTTGGGGAAGGGATGAATCATCTCTTCTCCCTCAAGCTATGAGTTGAATAGCAGAATGGACTGGGTTCTATAGCCTTGGTTGGTAATCAGTCTACCACAGAAAGAATTGGCAACGTACTGTAACAAAATCTTCAAATGCTGAGCCAGCATGGAAGAGTAGACACATAAAATTAACATGAGAATAATATCTCATGTTGATGTACAGTTTGCAGCATTGTGCAGTAGGCATTTGCTTATTATTATTATTATTATTATTATTATTATTATAAGGTCAATCAGTATCAGATCTTTTAATCTTTCACTCAAGGGTCAATTGTCTATCCTCTTTAACCTCAATATTCACTTCGTACTACCTGCTCTTTCATTCATCATATGCCTCATTCACCATAACCATTTCAACAGTAACTGTCTAATTTGAGTGGCTCTCCAGCTTTGTACTAGGGGGGCTTTAGTATAAAAAAAAAATGTACTAAAGCTGAGTCTACTAAATTCAGCATGTTTATTTTTGGTTTTTAACAGAATGTTTCATTTTCACCAGTAAAATATTTATAAAATAGTTAAATTTTACTATTATACAAAAATAGTTTGAATTCTAATTAGAAGGCTCTTACTAAATTATACTAAGTGAACTAATAGAATTTAGTTGAGTCTTGGGTAGTCTCAAAGAAGCACTTATTTGTCTAAATGTTAGGCCACACACACACACACACACACATATATATATATATATGATTGCAACATAGTTTGAGGAATTAGATAGCTGAGTTCAAATTCCATTCAAATTCATAACATTCCTTTACATGCTAATACCTTTGGGAAATGTATGAATCCATCTCTTCTCCCCCCAGCTATGGGTTGAATAGCAGAACAGACTCTGTTCTATAGCCTTAGGTAGCAACCAGTCTAGGAGAAGTACAACACTGAATTCAAAACCTGAAGAGGGTTTTTTGAGGACTTTGTGGCATACTGTGCACCAGGTCTCTCTATTCAACTCTTCTCTTGGTTTGGTACAAGTCTTCACCACTATAATCAAATGTGTTGGTAGTCTGGCTGTTGGTTCTAAGAACTGAGCTGTTTGACCCTCATAAATCAAAAATGACACCAAGAGTGTATATATAATTTTTTTTAGAAGATACTCAGTCACTGAGTTTTATTTAGCTGTGGCAGAGTACCAAGCTGTTATTGTTTTTTACCATAATTATTAAATCAAAGAAGATCAATTATGATGGAATGTAATTGACCTAATTACTTACCACAGTTCTGTTGTGATTTTCATACCAAGTGCTGTTCAGATAGTCTTTAGGTCCCATGACTCCACAGCACTTGCCCTGGAAGGAAGAGAAAATAAGTTATAATGTGACTAAGATACAAAGTGTTACTGCAAATGAAAGAGAATGAGATGTTAGTGAGGAGACGGGACAATAAAAGAATAAGATTCAGGATAACAGAAAATGGTGACTGACATTGCATTTAAATTGTTGAAGATCATACAGTAGCGGGAAAAAAGTTCCACAGGCAAGAAGTGCATGAAAAGAACCTATTAGATTAGAACCTACAGATGCATTTAGCTATTTCAACAATAATTGAGCTAGTTGCCAATCTAGTGGTATGTTTAAATTCATTTAATCTCCTCAGAAAAATTGCCATGAAAATGTTTCTAGAAGAGACAAAAGGAAGCTATGTCAATTTAGTGGGAAAATGACGTAAGTCAAAAATGCCAGGTCAAGATTGATAACATCATAAAATCCAAAGAGTCTATTAATCTCAAGATATGTAATAGGAGCACCAGACCAGATATTCCAGTAATATTAAAAGCATGGATGAATGGTAGATTAAAATATTCACAAGATAGATTCTGGTGAGAAAAATTGTCTGGCATGATACAATGAACCAACTTTCCCAGAAGCAGACTAAGTAAATGATTTAAAATAATTATAGTTCCACTGCATGTCAGTGGGAAATGTGAGACCAAGAAGGCATAATAAATTGCTCTCCTGAAAGTTAGCATCTGATAGAAGGCAAAATAGTTCTCTATGATTAGTAGTTTAATTTTAGAGGCATTCAAATTTACAAGCCATTCTTTGCCCTAGTTAACAACTGATTGGAAGTCATTCTTCAACATCAGCTTTATTTGACTTGGTATTAAGACAAAAATAAATAGTTGTATCATCAGCATAAACACCTAGTTAAGAACTGATGATATTGGGAAGGTTGTTGATGAAGATAAGAAACAACACGGGTAAAAGGATCTAAAATAGTGACTGTTCAACATGACTCCTTACATGATTTGTTAAGATTAGATCATCAAATATTTGAACAGAGACACCTTAGGCCTTGAGCATGCCAAAATCTGTCAAATGCCTCGGAGATATCTAATGCCAGAATCTGAGCCCTGTCATGTTTATGTAAAGCTTGATAGACAAATTCAGTAATAACAGATCAGTGGCTGACCTAGAGAAGCAAAAGCCATATTGTTTATCTGAAAGAAGGCCATGCTAAGTGAGATGCTTAACTAATTTGGAATTGATTAGAGTCTCTAAGACTTTGCTAAAAAGTAGTAAAAGACTAATAGGACAATAATTTGAGGGGTCAGAAGGTTCACCAGATGAGGATGACAGAAGATGTTTTTTCCAAAAGATATCAGCAACATAATTTTATTGAAAGGACTTGCAGTAACTCTTGTCTCCATTGACGATGTGAATAAACAAGGGTGAAACATTATAATATGGATGGAGATATAAAAAAACAGTAATGAGGGCAAAATTATTTTCTGATAAAGTTAAGACCTTGATTGTTGCCAATATCATTTACACTTAACTCCATGACCGTAAGAAATTGGTAGTGTCTCCTTGCACTCATCTGAGACAGATATCCCTGTAGTGGTTGAAACTGATGCCTCCATTACCTGGCATAGCCAATGAGGGTTTACTGGGGCATGGCTATTGCTTCTTTGCTGTAAGTGGAGCTGTTTCTCCTCATGTTAAATGGGAGAAGTTTCTCAGCTCCTGGGATTTCAACCCTGCAGCAGAACATTCCTCATTGAATTAAGAGAGGTGGGATTGGTGTAATACTGATGCCAATGTGAAAGTGGTGCAAAACAACAATTTTTGTACTTGGCCCATATGCATGTTAAAACGACCCTGTGTCACATCCAGCCTTGGTTGGAGAGGCTGAGTAAATATATCTGACATAGGAGTAGCTGTCAGTAGGTTGTCTAGTTATTTTCTTTTCTTGGGCCTTCACTGAAACTGAACATAAGCATAATGCAATGGAATGGTAGGGCAGTGCTATCATGGAAGCCATGAAAATATGGTTACAGTATCTATCAAGAGTAAGTGGCCCATTACATGTTTCCTTTTGAATAACTGAAAAATAAAATCTAATGTTGGTAAATTGAGTTTGGATGTTGTGAGTGTATCATTCATGAACTGGTAAATAGTGACATTTCAGCTGATGTTATCTCTCATTAGAGAGTCACTAGTAGTTACAAGGGACAGGAAGTTGTGGAGAGCCATGATCACTTATATCCTGAATATAAATGATTATGATTGTAGAAAATTGTCAAAGTTCCATGTTTACCTTTGTTGTCCTGATATAACAATTTGCCTAATGTCTGTTATTCTAGCAAAGTAAGAAAAAAGTGTGCAAAGAACATCCTGATAAAAGCCATTAATGGAAGGATTCAGCACAGATTTCAAAGGATCATTTTCCTATGCTTTCAGAAACCATTACTATTGTAAATGAGTATTTTGATGTTCCTTTCACATTCATTTGCACAGTTTAATTTTTTTCAGTTCTTTTTCACACTAACAAAAAAATTAAAGTGTAAACATGTATATTTTAGGGATTTGTAGAAATACAAGTCAATTTTAAATGTAGTCAGAATTTAGTTAGTTGTTCCCCTTAGCTATAAATTGCATAAATTGGATTTGACATGACATTGAGTCACATTTTGTGGCCTTTAAGTTGGCATGTAACTAATATATTTTACTGGAGGTACAGACATGACCCATTATACATTGAAACATTTTTGATAGATCATATGTCATCTCTTTATCAGAGCAGCATGATCATAATGTGAGACTTTGTGTCAATGAACTTGGAAAATGTAGATATTTTAGTTGGGGACCCCCCCCAAAAAAAAAACTGAAAATGAACAAAGTTTCATGATGATGATACTTTATCATATATCAAAGTTCCTTGACGACTGTATTATTATATCTTGTATCAAAATATATTGTTACTCACCTCCATCTGTACAATATCCCATGTGCGAGAACTGATCTGGTTGTTGGTAGTGTTGTATTTGGTCCTGACAAATGTCTTCAGGTTAACAGTCATCTTTTGCTCAAGCAACTAAATGGGAAAAAAAAATAAAATTTAAACAATAAGTGGAATAACTTTAGCTATAAATTAAAACTGTTTGTTTTGCATACTATAGAAAAAATATTAAAACAAACTGATTAAAGTTAAAATAAACACAGTAATTGTAATAAAAAAAAAATACTTCCAATAAATAATAGTAATTTCCCAAAAGAAAACCAATATACAAGTAATGACTATAGTAACGATATTAAATGTACTGTTGAATTATTTATGTTTGGTATTTTGTATCTGTATGCATTAGTTATTATAGTTAAGTCAACATGACAGTTTTTGGACTACACACACACTATATATATATATATATATATATATATAAATAATGTCATCCACAGACAGACTGTTTCACAGCTCTTCAGTGTTGCTAGACGTCTGGTTGTCTCTAGTTAGGATCGAAACCCGACTGAATTAGCGTCAGTCGGAGATTCTACCACTAAGCCGTCGACACGCGGCAGGGATGAAGGTGAATTTTAGCGTATTTATTTTTAGATAAACACACAGTAACTGACAGGACTCAATTCGCTTTTGCCGAAGATATATATACACACATATAGAATGAAACATCTGTTCAGTGCTTTCTACATTCTGTTGAGGATTCTTCTAGACTCAATGAATTACTATAAGGATTATTCTAATCCACCAAAATTCTATCATTTGTATATCCTTGTTTGACCCAGCTAGTGCTCTACGATGACATGGCTAAAGGGAAGGAAGATGTTGCTCTTGGGGCACAACCTGTTGGGTTTTGAATACTTAGATGAGTATCACCACGGAATTTATTAGTAGCGGTGCTATATCGAGTCTATTCAGTTTCTTCTTCATTACTGAGGTCAGTTGGTCTAGTGGTATGACACTTGTATTGTAACGGTCTGGGTTTGATTCCCTGTAGTGGATGCACATTGCTCATAAGTCCCAAATAAGATCAAACAACTGTCTATTGCTTTCTGCATTCTGTTGAGGATTCTTCTAGATTTGATGAATTACTATATATATATATATATATATATATATAATAGGAATAGATAACTTCACCTATCATCTGGTTCACGCTCCTCCCTGGTCTTTTGAACAGATGTAGAGGCTTATCCCTTGTTTCCTGTTTAGGATTGGATTTCTGGTTCCTTCTAAAGGTGATTTTTTTTTTCCTTTCACTCCCTTTCACTCCCAGTAGCCTCTTGCATATTGGTGGCAATATTAGCTTCCTTGGAGTGAATTGATTAAAAACAATTTCCCATTTATGTGGCATTTCTACCAAGAGTACCAATTCAAAATTGTTGCCACATCAGAGTACCAATTTCAAAGAGTTACCGCATTAATGATTCTCTGGGTCCAACTTATTTCTCAAGTGTATAAAACTGACAGCTGCTGTTTTTTGTTTTTACATATCTTCACGGTCTCATTATGCTTGAAGCGGATGACATATTTAGTCTGGTTTCTTGTGTAGATTATGAAGGATCATTCAACTTAAAAATACACTTCTGATTCCAAAGTACAACCATTTTTTTTTCCCTTGTCAAGCTGATAATGGATTGTTGCCTATTCTCTTAAAATTTTCTTGTTTGTGTCATCAGCAATGGAGATCAATTTTTATTGGAATTAATTCTTTAAACTTATAGAAAAATATACATTTTTCATGTCAATAATTTTCCATAAAGCCAGCAGACTTTTTCGATCTGAGAGTAATGTCAGTCTTATATTATGGAATAAACCACTGTGGCAAAATGTCAGCCTGTGACATTTGATTTCCATAAATAAGTTTAATGAAATTCAAAATTGTTATCAAATTCTCTTTCAGTTTATAAAATCACAAACTGTTGGAATTGGTCAATTGTCATTAAAACCAAAACAAATATCTTGCCTTGTAGGTACATATATACCACCAGTAAAAACTTGACAGATTAAATTATGGTAATGATAACTACTATTTTCACATGAATATAAAAATCATCATCAGAGCAGATTCAACATGAAGGCACACTGCAAATCAGTGTGATTTCTCACGTTCAGAATGGCTGCTCGTTTCAAGTGCATTTGTGTTTCTTCACTGAGCCAACTTCTGGTTTAAACTGAAACTGTGCTGAGCAGACTTTAGTTATAGTTCATGTCCCATGAGGACCACACATGGTTTTGAATTCAGAGTTGTCCTATACTGGTTGGCAGCTAATGCTAAAGAGTCCAGTCTGCCCTGTTATTTAACCCATAGCTGGGGGAGAACAGATGGATTTATCCCCTTTTTCAAGGATATTTGTGCAAAAGTGAATGTAACAAGCTCATCTATTTCTCATTCTGTGAGCCATTAACCATTACATCTGTTGCACAATCGTAAATATAAAGAGTTTTACCAAATAACGAAAACCAAATCACTTGAACACTTAACAGCAACAACTACTAAACACATGAATATAATAAAGATGCTAACTTTCAATACTATCTTACTTATTATAAAACGCAGATATTTGTGTGTGTGTGTGTGTAACTGTAACGTTTATATATTGAATCGGATTTCCTACATTTTTCAACCGATTTCAACAAAACTTCACAGGACTACATAAAATTACCAATAATCTAACGATCTCTACTGATTGTACGAATCCAAACATTGGATAATTCTTTATCTTTAGGGAAAGATAATGAAATCTAAACATACACAAGTCCTCCTAACTAAAAAAAATAATAACCGAAACTACTTTAAATACACATGGTGTCCAATTTTTTTTACTGTATTCAATAAGTAAAAATCATAAATTGTAAAAGATTATTATTACAGAAAGGCTACTAAATGAATAAGATTTGTTAGATCATAATTAATAAACCCAAATAAAGTTAATATTTTTTGTATTAGAAACGAGTGGAAAATATATTCAAATCAGAATTCTAATTATGAATCACCACAAGCAAAATATGCAATTTTTTTTACTGTATTCAATAAGTAAAAATCATAAATTGTAAAACTAAAAGATTACAGAAACACTACCTACATTTTTCAACCGATTTCAACAAAACTTCACTTTTTGTTTTTGGCATGTAGTGTTTCTTATTGTCTTGCACACTTTTTTCTTTATTTTTACATTCAGAATGTTTTAAAAATTCCATTTACAAGACAATTGTTTATAAAATTATTCTATTCAATCGATAGACTCATAACTTTTGTTTGGGTTTGACCAATTCGTAAAAAAAAAAAAAAAAAAAGTAATTAAGACATGCGTGTCCAACAACCTTAAACAATAATCTTTGTCAATTTTATTTTTCAGTCTTTATGATGGTGGATACTTGATCTATCTCTTACTGTTATATCCCCGGGCAATGCCGGGCTCTACTGCTAGTCTTAAATAAAACAAAAGTAAAAAAACAAAATTAGACTTAAGAGACTTTTTATAAATTTCAACCCAGTCAATGATTGTTCAGTTGATTTTTGGCTCTTAAGAGGTTGATCATAGTCCTCCATTTAAGTAATGAGTAGGCTCAATTCCACTTAACTTTGAAAACACTGGTTCCCATTTGATCACCAAAGTGATTTGATCTAGTCACTGAACATAAAATCTTTCCTGTTTGGAAACTATTAATCCTGCCATTAGCATTCTACAAATAATGAATGGTTTTAATGAAATTATTACAGCAATCAGACTTTTTAAATTTGGTATTAATAACCATGTAATATGTACAAGTTCAACTGAAATTAGAATATTGATCAAAGAAATATTTATGAAAACTTTTTTATTTATAATAAATTATTTTCTCATTGACCAACCTCAAACCTGAACTACTAGATGACCAAATGCTTAAGAAATCAAAGAAAATTTTTTCTTCTTGTAGTAGAAAAAACATCATGATGAATTTTGTCTCAAAGATGGAAGAAGGGATGTTGAATAAAGTGGAATCAGCTCTTCAGAATTGCAAAGTGGAAAAAAAAAGTTATAGGAATCTTCAAAGATGTTTCAAGTAATCTGAGGAAATAAACTATAAAAATAAAACAGAAAAAAAAAGCTTGTTATTGAAGCAGCAGACAAAAGATATTTTTTACCTCCTTTTTGTAGAGAGCGGCCAAGATTCCAGCTGCAAGTTCTCCAGCCATGATGCAGAGAAGGAAGAAGAAATACTGAAAAAAAATAAAAATAAATAAAATAATAAACTCTTTCAAATCAAGTCATAAACCAAAAATATCTGTGGCATTACTAAGGAAAAATGAAAGAAAAATCTTCTGAAGAGAAGCATAACTTATGTGGCTGATCTTCAATTGAGCATAAAATAAACTGTATCAGTTTTAGGTTGTATTAATAAATTAACATTGATTATAGCAATGGGCAAATCTTGTTTAAAATACATTCTTTTGCTTGTAAAATGTTTGATATTAACACTTCTGAGATATACACACACACACACACACACACAGTAGGACACATAAATACTTATCAAACATCCCTACATTTTCATTTTTTGAAAATTGTATTGACAAATTTTTTAATTTAGACATTTTTGGGGCAAATATTTTATGTCAAAGATTGAATTTTCTAAAGTGTGTAACACACACTCCTAGTCAAAATCTTAAGACCAGATACAAAAGGGTTAAAAAAAAAAAAATATAAAATACTGTTACTTTAACCAAAATATATTTGCAAAATGTTTACATTTAATTAGAAAATGTAGTTTATCAACAAACAAGTGAACATTTTAAGTTTTTAATTGATTAATTTAAACAAACATTGAAAAAGAGTTTTTTTTTGGTTGGTCATAAAGACCATGAAAATAAAAATATCAAATACAGTGTAACCCGGATATAAGAGAGTTGTCTGGACCGGAGAAGAAGTCTCTTATATCCGGGTTTCTCTTATATCCGGGTTTGGTCTAATTTATATACATTAACACAGGCTCTAATTTGGGACCAGAGAAAATCTCTCTTATATCCGGGTTACACTGTACAGAACAAATAAGTCACAATGACAATTTAATTCTCAGTATATCCTGCATTTTTGCGAATAACTTTGAAAATTTGCTTTAGCATACTCATTAACTTCTGCATGAGGGTGCTTGGGATGCTCACCCAGGATGCATAAACTGCAGCACAAAGAGCATCCATAGTTTCAAATTGTGATTCATGTTTATAAACATCCTTTGCCATCCATCATTAAATATTCTTAATTGGGATTTGATCTGGAGAGCGTTGTGGATTGCAGCATTGTCCTGTTGGAAAATCCAGTTTTCTCCAAATAGATGAGTGCCTTCAGTAATTAGTGATGCCTTTCTTAACGTCAGTGTAACTAGCAGCTGTTTGATGACCTTTTACCTCTTGTAACTCGAGTTCCATTGTAGCAAAATGAACCCCAGACCATAGTTGATCCACCTCAACTGTGTCTTGTTGGGACATCTTTTGCATGCCAGTAATGCTGAAAACCATCTGGGCCATCAAGACTGAATTTTTTTCAACTCTGAAAACACTTTCTTCCATTTATTCACATCTCAAGTTTGATAATCGGAAGCAAAGTGTAAACAGGAGGTTTTATGGTGAAGGAGAAGGCAAGACCTCTGCAGTCGTTTCAGGTTCTTAAACCCTTTCTTATTTAAATGCTGTTGAATTGTTCGAGAACTGCATTCAGCATCTGTATTCGCTTTTATCTGATTTGATGTTAGGCTTGAATCTCTCTTAACTTCTCGCCTAATGTGACCTGTCTAGAGATGGAGAGATTTTTTTTATTGGGGCAACTGCTTTTTTTTTTTTTTTTTTAAGCATACGCTACGCATCTGGATTTTTAATGAAGTTAACAATGAGAGTTCTGCTATGCCCAATTTCATTTGCAATGGCTTATTGCAAAAGACCACATTTTTGAAGTTCAACAATCCTGACCTGTTCAAACTTTAAAATTTTACACTTAGCCACTTTAAAATCTGAAATTTCATACTGGAAATGAGCTACGTAGATGTCTACACACCTGACTTGTTCTTAAATCTTTGTCCAGTAATTTGTTTGTTTTTTTTTTTTTCCACACATGGTCTTTCTTTATGACCAACCAAAAAAATCCTTTTTTTTCTTTTTTTTCAATGTTTGTTTAAATTTATCAATTAAAAGCTTAAAATTTTCACTTGTTTGTTGATAAACTACATTTTCTAATTAAATGTAAATGTTACGCAAATATATTTTGATTAAAGTAACAGTATTTTTTTTTTTTTTAACCCCTTTTGTATCTGGTGTTAAGATTTTGACCAGGTATGTGTGTGAGATATATATATATATAGTGTGTGTGTTTCATTAAATAATATAGGCAAGTGTTGTCTATTTATTTTATGTAAATTCTTTTCATAACGTCTTGTCTATATTATTTAATGAAACATGTATGAATGAAAAAAATGCTGCCTAAATACACACACACACACACACATATATATATATATATATATATATATATATATGAATGGCTCTAGTAGTAATCTGAATTTCATGCTCACATGATCTTCAGATGATTTGAAGTTCAAGTTGTTTGAAGATTGCATGTGCATAAAACTCTGGTTACAACTAGGGCCATTATTTTCATAGGAATTAATGTTTTTTTTTTTTTACTCTCTTGGTAATCTAGGCATAGATCAGTTTACTGAGTAGGTAGGTAGGTAGGTAGGTGTTTGCTTTTACTTTTCTCATATTGCTGCCTTTGTTTGAGATTTTATCACATTTAAGGGTATTTAGATTAAAAGATACACATTAACTGAAAGTCGTCATACTTCATTTTTCTAGTTACCCACTTTTAATAAAGATTCACTCAATTATATCTAAGAATTTTTATATTGTGGTGGTGGTGGTGGGGATTATTTTCCAACATTTCTTGGTGTGTACTGGACATCAATTATTTCGTGTGAACTTATTTGTATTCAATTCTATGTATGTTTGCTATCCATAACATGGTACATTACTAATGAGCACTAAAATCCAAACCATTTATACCTGTTGATTGTCAGTCAAACAGAAGTGGCAGGAGACATCACAAAAACTACATTAATCTTCAACTATTCAGCATTAGAAGTTTCCACTCTCAAATAAAATGAATAGAGAATATTTGTTGTTTCTATAATATGAAAATTAATTCGCTTAGTACAATGCTCAAGAGCCACTCAAGGTAGAGTTATTGTTAAAATGGTAATGATGAATGAGGTCTGTGATATTGAATGAAAGAGGAAGTGGTAGGAAGTGAAGAATAAAATATTAATCAGTCTCAGATCTGAACCACTAGACAATAAGGAGAATAAATAACAACTGACCCTCAACTTGAACAAGATTGTGATTTTCAGGGAAGCATACATGCAGGAGTCTCTTTCACAAGGTTGCAGTTCTTGTAGGGGGAAGCTGTTTGAGCAGAACATTCTTATGTTTGGAAGACAGAAGAAATGTGGGTGCTTTTATTGTGTGAAGAGAATGGGATATATATCATATATGTATAAAATACATTGAGATCTCTTCATGGATCTATCTTATATTTTATATTAAAAGACCTACTTGGATTAGCCTTACCACTTACAGATTAAATTATATATATATATTCACCCCCAAGTAAAGTGATAATGTCACTAAGACACAACAGACTACTAGGAGTGAAAGAGAATGAAAAGACATTAAGAGCTGGAAACTCAACAAGGGATAGACCTCTACTCCTGTTCCAAAGATAGAGGAGGAGTGTTTAACAAGAGAATAGGCAAACCTACCTACTTTTACTGAAGGAAAAAATAAATAGTAAATAAAATTCCAGAGTTTCAGTGGAGACATTGAAGTAGATTGCAGAGGAGTTAAAACTTTGAATAAATAATTATAACCCCCACCAACATTTAGATACTCATTCTATTGATTCAACATTTTTGTACATCATTTATTATCTGGTTGTTATGTGGTGTTGGAGAAATGACAGTAATAGGGAGTAAAATGTATACAATCTTTCTTGTATGAGTTTTCATAGATGTGTTTAGTGAGTGTCCAGATAATTTAGTTGGAAAATACAAGAAGTGTTTGGGATTTTCTTATCTCAAATTTTTGTTGTGTGTTAAAAGATAAATATTAATATTATGGCCTGAAAATAACAACCTGTCTATGTGGACTGTTTGTCCAATAGTGAGAATGGCACATGTTTGTGTGTATAGAGGAGAAAAGTGGGGTTGATTCTCATTGGTTTAGAATGAATGAATTTATGATAATTATAATTGTTCTTTTATTATAATTTTAATTTATTTTTTATGGACATGACACGATGAGAGTATAATTAATTTTTTATCATATTTATGTATTTCTTTATGGATGCAAGATTGTAGAAGGACTGGAAACCCAATCAGGTTAATTAAAATTAGTTTATATTTATTTGCTTTTTATAAAATTATACCAATGATACTTCTGTGGTATTAATTTTCATGAGACTTAGACAAACACAAAAATATTAATTAGTATTGACCAACAGGTTATAAACAAGTGAGAGATGATGGAAGACTGATGGCATTGTTATCAAAGTGAAAAGGATTTCCTATCAAATGATACAGCTCTTATGGTTCTAGGATCTGAAAATGGCTGCTTTTATAATGGCTCTTCTCCACAAGAAGGACAATAAAGATGATGTTGTTGTTTATTTGTTAAAAAGGATGCTTGTTATCCATCAACACAAGATAATACTTTCTCTGAATGATTTATTGTCCCTGACCCACATCATCATTGCTGTTGCCATGGACAGTGTGCAGGCAACAAGTGGATGTGAGCTTCAGTTTCTTTTTTAATGCAGAAATGAAAAGAGCAAACTGCACTTTCTTCAGTTCTCAATGCATTCATGATTAATTTATTAAAAAATGAACTTTGTGTGTGTACATGCAAATATGTGTTCACTTTTTAATAATAAGTCCATAAGGATATATGAGGGGGTGCTGAAAAGTTCTCTACCTGATCGATTTCCCCAAATCACTACATGATCTATGCATCAGCAAAATTTCTGAAACAAAAAATGTCTAAGAAAAAAAAAAAAAAAAAATATATATATATATATATATATATATATATATAAGGGACATTGAAGTCAGCACCCAGAGGCAACAATCTGATTCATGCTAAACACAATTGGCAGGCCATGAAACAGACTGTCGCCT